ATCCTGTTAATTATGCCGTCACTTCGTGACGTCATAACCAACATGATATTTTTGATCAACTAACCTATAACTAGGACCTATAGGATCATTAATTATCTATTACTGTCATGGTAGTGTGCGCCCTTTTCACACCAATAAATTGATATAAATCTTAAATAAAAATTGCACATTTATGGAGAAAGGGAAATTAACCAGCACTTTACAATTTCCGTTATTACAACTACACTTGCCGCCCATACTCAAATCCTTAAAATCCCATCCCATCCCATCCCATCCCCATCCCCATCCCCATCCCCATCCCATCCCCATCCAACCCACCAACATTTCTGCAATGGTTTGCAATATAATAATAATGCTTGCCAGGAAGAAGCAGCTAAAGATTGATTTAAGATTAGAGAAATTATTACCATAAAAATATTAAATCTGGTTAATCAATTCCATTGACTTGTAGGAAGTAAGGTGCAATATTGTAGTATTGATACCACAGCCCATTACAGTTATGATTGAGCCCAAAATGTCCATATTCCTCATTCGGATGCAAGATTTATTACCTTAATCCTCACAAAGTTCATCTCTTTGATATCCAGGACAAAGGAGTAAGAAAACAAAACAATTATGTTTTGGATGAATATGAGTTAGTAGGAAAGGGCCTAATGGTACACTCAGCATAGTTTTTGATGGAATTAAACAGCTAAATAAAGGTAAAAAATCACTTGTGATAATGCAAGTGGACAAAATAAAAAAATGTATATAATAATTTGATTTTCTTTATATTTAATAATCTGCAGCTGCTACGAAAGCATTGAACTGGAATTTTATGGTTCCTAGACATGCAAAGTTTAAATGTGATGGTGATAATTTTGGGTTAATTAAAAGTTGTATTGTAAAAAAAAATAGTTGATTGTGTGAATCATGTGGTTGAGATGATAAACAATCCAATATTATAGGATTGAATAATACTCAACATTATGAGGTAGGTAAAGACTTTCGATGCTTAGGTATCAAATTCATTTTTGGAATTTATTTTCAGAACTACTGAGTATTCAAAAGTATCAAGATTCACTATGCCTATGGATTGCAAATGACAAGAGTATATAACAATATTCACCCACTGGTAAGAGATGATGAATTTAAAGATATCACTTCCCCAAAACTTTCCTGCTAACATTGATTAGAATTTGAGACCTAAAACTATCCAATTTGGTGACTTCAGATCTTATCTTTGTGGGAGTACTCATGTTGTCAATACTTTGGAAATTGGAGAAATTACAATCCATGATGTTAAAAAGAATAAAGAAGGCAGATTAAAAGTCAGTTATGACATTAGTGAATAATATTCAAACTAACGTAATAATCTTTATAGTCAAGTAATTAAATTAGTTTTCAGTATGTGTATTTGCAATCTGATAATATAATTATGACAACAATAACAATTAACATCATCTTGAAAATATTTTTTCTATACATGTATACAGCCTTTTTCTTGAGTTTACCTTTCTAAGCTGCCTTAAAAAAGTGATTTTGTAAATTATTAAGGTTATCTTTTTGAGTTGATTTTTTTATAATTTTACCCATCTTTCTTTCCCGAGAAGCATAATTTTCCGATTCGATGTAAATTAAAATGGGGTAATTTCATATAGGAAATAAAGTTAATGATATTTGGTAATTTTATCATCTGGTGTAATCTTGTCTGGTTTTGTCGCAGTATACCAACATATACGTTGCACATCGAAAGAATGTTCTAATAATAATAATAATAATAATTACAATAACAACAAAGTTTCAAATTTATATCATATGTAACTTAAGTTTTGATAAATATTTATGCAAAACTTAATTTTTCAAAATTTGATTTTATTATCATCTACATATGAAAGTCTTGGCTTTTGTTTTTTTATTATCATCTATCTGTGTTGTCACCAACTACTCGAATCATTTTGCACTTTAGGTTTGATAAGTATGTTTTATAGTTTTATACATTTTTTTGTATAGATTAATATAAAAAAATCGATTCAAATTTTTTATTAAAAATAAAAATAAATTTATATCAGTTTATCTCAAGAATTATCAATTTTTAAAGTTTGATTTTATTATTTATTACTCAAGCACGAAACATTAAATTTTGAATATTTATCAAAACTAGTGATGTTAGCCGGTTAAGAAATTTATTGGTTTAGCCGGCCAAAAAAAATTTCTGCTTTAATTTTTGCGCGTCTGGAATTTTAGTGCAGAATTCAATGGCATAAACATTTAATTGAGATAGGTCCACCTACATTACTTAGGATGACAAAAAAAACATACATTTACTCAAAAAGCAAAACACAATACATCATATCAGGATAAAAGTCAAAGTTTCTATTCGTAATACAAATTCTTATTTTAATTCGAATTATTGTTATTCGTTTTATTCGAATTATTCGAACTATTTGAATTATTATTATTCGTTTATTCAAACTATTCGAATTATAAATAATTTGAACCATTAAAGGAGAGATATTATAATAACAATAGTAAAATAATAGTAATAGTAATAACAACAGTAGTAGTAATAATAATACCAGCAAGATTAATACCATCTGGAAAGGTTTTTTGGGATTTATTAGTTCTTAGCCGGCTAAGGTTTTTCTATCACTAAACAAAACCCAAGCTACACGTGGTATTTAATAATATGTAAACTGCGAGAGTTTGAACTGTGGTTCGGGCCAAACCGATTAAATCGCGGTTCAATCGTCCCCATCCCTATTTTTAATGCCTTGACCAATCTTTCCAAAATATTTTCTACCAATTGAATATTTATTTATTCTTTTTTTTTAACTATGTTTCACGAAATGTTCCGTTGAATTATTTGCCAAACTTCATCTTCACTATCATCATTATCAGTTTCTATAAATTGCTTCAGATCATCAATCTTTTTAAAAAATAAATATGCAAGTTAAAAAAAATGTAAAATGAGTCAATTAACAAGCAGAACAATTATTTCAAGGCAATATTAACATCATTTATTGTTACAATTGAAAAATTGTATTTTTGTTAATTTAATGTTTTCTATAATTTATTGTTTCATCCTTGTGATTAATATCCAATTGTCATACAAGGGTGACCATATTAAAATGCTAGGAAATCCAAATTTGTTAATAATGAAATAACCAATCCCATAAAAATTATTTTAAAGTTTAAATTGAGCATATACAATACATACATACAAGTTCTCCTAACTACTTGATGAATTTTATATGGAATCGAAAAATTTTTTTGGCATGTCCATTCCATAATATATATATATATATATATTTAATAATCCATCCAATAGATTGTTTGAGCCGGCGGATCTTTCCATGATAGTTCCCAAGAATATGGTATATTATTAGAATTTCCGGAAATAATATCCTGCCTGATTTATATAGCACAGTGGTTCACATTAATATTAATGTTGCATGTATCTGTAACATTAATATTAAGTGTACACCTGTCCTGTTCCTTATTGTGCAATGCTTATTAGGTAATCCATAAAGCAAATCATGTGTTAAAATCATATCATAGTACAAATAGCAAGTATAATTTATTCTAGTTACCATTTCCATCTGTACAAGCAACATCGGATGTGTCTTTATAATCAAATACTTTAAAATCAAAGACTTTAAACCATGTTTCTGAATTATTTCGTTGTACAGCTGTAACACATCTCTGTTTATCAAATTTAACCTGCCTATAGTTGATTGATTGATTAGTATTAATTTCACTCAAAAAAAATTTTTTTTTAATTAATTAAAATAGAAAATAAATCACAAATGAGTTTGCCAGATTTCATGTCCCACATGTGTAATGCTTCATTTGTACCACATATCACTTTGTCTTTTGTCATGCTGGACTGGAAACATGTAGGGTTTGCATTCATGAATACCATGAATACCATTATGGGAGTTGCACAGTAAAAAATCCCTTAAAAACACTTGATTTTAATAGTGTTGTGACCCTGTGTGGCCTCATTACAGTATCCGTGAATACAAACCTAGAAACATGTTATTTTACATCCTGCACATTTTCCTGGATTAACAAACATATGCTTTCTTTTATAATTATCTGCATCCATTATAAAATAACAATGGTAACAGTAATAGAAGCTAAATAGTCATCTGAAAGCCAAAGTGCCTTCAATGTTCCAAAATTTAATCATACCATCTGCATTTTTACTAAGATTTTTTTTTTCTGTTGATGCAAATTGATTTTTTTTTCTTGGAAACAATCTTATTTTTTGACAGATGACAAATGTGAACCTCCTAAAGAAGAAGTGTAAACAACTAACCAGATGTACTTTTTTATATTGATATAATGTGGTGTCTTTTATTTTATAAATATTTTAATTGAAATCAAAACATGGAGCGGAACTTGCTGGGTAATAAGATCCTTATCAAGATGGTAAATGATTGGTATTCTGCTTTTTGTATTAGTAATAATAATAATAATATTATTATTATTACAAGATGTCAAAAAAACCAGCCAATAAGTTTTGAAGCTTGAGTCATGAACAAATAAAACTCATTGGTTAAATTTTTTAAAATGATATAATTTTTGTTTTAGTATTTTGGAGTTGACCAATTGTTACTACATAGTGAATCTTGATTTAGTGCACATTGATTTAGCAGATACTAATTAAAAATCTTGGTTTTATGGATAAAGTTCAAAGAATTGATTCCATAATAAAAACCTTCTTGATATAGCAGATATCTCCATTTAACAGATTTTTGGAAAATTTTCCCTAATTGCACAAACTATCTGCTAAATTGAGATTCACTGTGTATCTCTTAAACGGTCAAAGTATTCTTTAATGGTAACACAAAATATTATTTTGATCACAATCTTGCATTCTTATTGGCCAATTTAACGATCTGCAAAGTAAAAGTAGTCAATCGACCAACTACAGTTCACTCTCTCTATAACGGTCCGCCTGATTTGGCAAAAAAAGGCCGTTATAGAGAGAGAGCGCGCTTGCAGATAATAGTCATGTGATACAATATAAAGATTTTTATTTTATATGATAAAATATATTTAAAAAATAAATGAAATAAATGAAAATAAACTATTTATAATTTGCATGCTTATTCAATGTTAAAAAAGCTATCTAGTGTGGATTGTTGTTGTGAGTTAAAATCAATTTTTTTCATTCTTCTTTTAAGACTTTCCAATAATTTAAAATCGTCCTCATTTAATTCTGATTGTTGGTCAATGTAAATTTCTAATGTTTTTAGGCTTCTTTATTTGTAACAGGTGGAGGTTCTTCGATTATTTCTTCCTGGCTTTCATTTTCCTCTGGTGGATTAATTATTGTAACTATGTCATTTATATTTATTTCATCACTTACGTGAGAGTCATCAATTTCAATGTATTCAGATGTGGATATAGGATTAGGGAGTGCAAGTTCATCAATCAAATTTTGCAAATCATTGAGCTCCTTACATTCAATGAATTTAAAATTGATGACATATTTTCAATTTCGTTGGAATTAATATCATAACCAGGTAAAATCCCAGTTTTTTTCCAGCAGTTAACTATAGTTTGACTGGTAACTTTTTTCCAACCTTTTGCTGTAAATTTAATTGCATGTTTAATTGAAATTTATTCATATTCTTGACCATTTCTCTCTTCTTCATAATCACTAATTTTTTTTTGCAAGAAAAGTTTTTTGTAGTTCACCTCGAAGCTGTTAATTATTCCGGCATCACATGATTGTAAAAATGTTGTTGTGTTTGGCGGTAAGAAGTAAACTCTTACATTAGTTTAAATTTGTTGATTCAGAAATAGAATGAGTGGGAGCATTGTGACAAATAAGCGCGTAATAATTGTGACACACTTAATTTCTTAATTTGGTAATGATTACCTCAAATCATGATCGTCTGTTGTTATAAACAACATATAAAACATATGAGAGAATTTTCAGAGGCTGGCCGTTATACACTATAGGAAATTTAATTAAGAAAACCGTTATAGAGCAAGGTTTTTATATAGTAAAAATTTGGTTTCTGATTTAATGGAGGCCGTTATAGAGGGGCCGTCATAGGAAGATTTTCCGAAATGATCTGCACCGTATTCACATGCTCATACTTGCTTGTTGCTTGTTATTTTCTGCTTTTATTCCAGTAAATAAAACTTTCGATGGATAAAAATACCATATTTTACATTAATCTACCTGTAAAGTTTTCAATATTATACAAAAAGACTTTGTCTCTGATGAATATTAAATTTAATCGGATTGAATTTTTTAATAATAGAAATAAAATTGCTTTATACAAACTTTTTGTGAAGTTATGATACTAAAAAAACATTAAATACTTGTGCTTTCTAATAAGTTTTATTATTATTATTATGGACAGTGTGTGACAACTGGTTGATATCATAAGACACTGATTTTATTTGCAATTTATTATTTTCCCACCATTATTATTATCCGCCATTATTCGCCATGATTGGAAGGTAATGTTCGCACAGAATATTCCAAAATCAGCTAAAAAGAAGGAAAAGCATAATTTGCGTAAAGTTATAGGCATCAAAACAAAAATATTTAGATGAATATTGCCAGGTTGGTATCATTTCAATATGATGATCCATTTAGGAACACACAAGGTTCACTTCACTTTTTCTGGTTTTGTTGCAAATATAATGTCAATGCACTTGGGAAACTTACTTACTCGCAACCCAATTAATATTTCACTACCATCCTCCTTCCAATTGGATAAAACTTTGCGAGAGAAAACAAATCTATTTGAGAGAGCAATGGTAAAAATTGTTTAAAAAACCAATAAAACCTTGAGTTCCTTATATTTATTTACTATTTTTGAATAATAAGTGTGTCAGCAAAAAAAAATAAAAAAACCTGAATCCATGTATTTATGTTTATATGCGTAAAATTATGAAATTTCAACGAATCAAATCAATATTATTTTTAATAATCCTCTCAACTCTAAAGTCCATGTCAAAAATTATAATTTTGTTTATATAAAATCGCGCATTATAATTTTCTTTGATTGCACCAAGAAAACCTAAAACCTTAATATTAACGCTTAAAATCAGACGAATTTTCCGTGCATGTACTTGTGTAATTATTATTATTATTATTATTATTATCCATTCATAATATCCGACTCAAAAAACAACAACAATAATAATAATTTAAATTTGTGTGCTAAATGTTAGATACTATAGACATAAATCGGAAATGATCGATCGAATATTTTTTTATTATCAAAAATTTTTAAATTAAATAAAAAAAAAAAAAGTTATTAAATTTTTTTTAGTAAAATCTGTTATTTTTAAAATGATTAAAAATAATTTAGCCAATTAAGCTTATCGATATTACAAATATGATGAAACTTAAACAGTAACTGTTTGCCATAATAATCTTAAATAAATGGCTTATTCGGATCATTTATTTATACACATATTAATATATATTTGGAAAAAATAATTAAATTTTTTTAATTTTGTTGGATATATGTATCACGACAAACTAGGAGAAAAAAAAAATAACCCAATCATCTTTTCTTTTTTTTGTAAAATACATATATTTTAAATTTTAAAGATATCCTTTACTTTAAAATCTTTAGAATTTAATCAACTTTCATTAAGAAAAAATTATTTATTAAAATCATTTATATTTTATTTCAAAATAACTGGGATTAGAAGGTAAGTGAATACAACTTTATTGTATTATTTAAATATAATAATTATCAATATTTCAAAATATCACACAATATTATATTACCACAATTATTAATTTCAATTTTGCAATGTTGATTAATAAATTTGAATTTTAGATTGAAATTTGGATTGGGTCAGTTAATTTTTTTAATTGTTAATTTAAAAGTAGAATAGATTGTGAGTAAAAATATTATACATGCATATATATATATATATTAGTTAGCTAAGTTGTTTTTCTTCTTCTTTTCTTCATAGAATGAAATATAAAGGTCTGTAATTGGTTATACACAATTCAGATATTAAATTATTCAACAAAATAAATAACAACTGCAACAAAAACAACAACAACAATAATATACATAAAAGCGTTCATCGTCATCATCATATTCATAATTGTAATCAACACCAACAACATCAATTTTCACAAGAAAACGACGATATAATAATGAGACCTGGGCCTGAACGAAATCGTAATGTAAGATCTACATCCTCCTCAAAAAAAGAATTTTCAATGTTTTATAGTAATGGAGATAACTTCGAACACACTTTTTCACAGCAAGTCATAATTATGAGGCGCGAACGAATGATAAGGCGCGTTTTAACTTTTATTATCATGGCTATGACATCTGGTTTCATGATGTATATTTGGCTAACGCCGGTAGACTCGCCATCTTCCTCCCATCCTTCTGTTGTTAATTCTTACAATAATCCCTACACACACTCACAACAAAAAGATCAACTATATTCAAATACAAACAATGATAATCATCGCTATCAACAAACTCGAGATTCCGCCACCACTGCTTCGTGGCCTTTAAAAAATAACGACTTATCTTCAAATAAAGAAATACATCTATATCGTATATTGGGTAATGATTTACCACCAAGACATAAGTCTGGCCAAGTTATACAAAATGTCGGTTTCATATTAGCAAATGAACCAACTTTTCCAAACACAAAAAAATGGTGGGTCCTCAATCGTATAGTTGATCAGAATTACGAAGCGGCGTTGATAGAACTATTAACAAAATATGATCAGGATTATTTGATAATTCCATTTAAAACAGATGAATATTTAAAAAAAGATTTCAAACTTGAAGATTTTCCTGAACCTGATTTTTTTCATAGTTTTGAATATTTGAATTTTAGTAGAGTTGCAAAATTGAGAACTATCGATTACACATATCATGATAAAAATCTTTATGCTATGAATAATGTAAGTCGTGGCATGAGCCGCAAGAGTCCCCTTCGAGGGTAATTATTTGATTTTTATATTTTAAAATAATAATAAAATAGTAATAATAATATATACTAATAATAATATTTTGCCTCTCCCCCCCCCCCAACAAAAAAAAAAAGAATGGTGGCAGAAATTTTGCATTAGCTCATGGTAAAGCACAATTAAATAGTAAATGGATACTACCACTTGACGGGAATTGTTTTCTGACAGTAAATGCTTTCAACGAGATAGTGAATAATTTAAATGAATATGGTCAACAGTACAAATATTTCATTGTGCCAATGGCAAGACTAACAGATAATAATAAAATACTGGTGAATCCTGATGTAAAACCTGAGACTCCAGAGGAACCTCAAATCATTTTTAGACATGATAGTAAGGAAAAATATAACGAAAATATGAGATATGGTAGAAGATCAAAGGTACTAATCATTTTATTTACTATTATTATTTTATTGATTAATTAATTAATAGTATTAATAGTTAATGTCAATGTTGTTGTAATAGCTTGAAATGTTATGGAGATTAGGTGTCCCTTCTCCAAGAAAATTGCTTAATAAACCGACAGTACCTTGGGAATCAAATGATGCAGCATATTTAAAAATAGCAAAAAACAAATATAAACCCATAGGTTGGGTATTCAGATTATTCTCAGGACAAGCATCACAAGAATTAAATAAACGAGAAGCGGGTGCCCTAAGAGCTTTTAATCGTTTGTTAGCAATACAAGATTTCTTGGATGGGATAGATGAACGAATTGCTAGATCGGCACAAGGTTACAATCCTGATAATTTATTTTTATACAACGAGAAACTACTATACAATAAAAGATTAGATTATTGGACCGGTGATCAAGAAATAAATCAGGTGGTGAATATTTTGATAGAGAAAGCTGACGATGTAATGGAAAATGTAAAAAACTTCTATCAATCAAGTGATAAAAGTATTCTAAGTGACCTGAGTACTCAAGTTAAATTTCTACCATTATTAAATGATGAAATTAGTAAGATGAGTGTTGACGAGGAAGAAATTGATAAAGATAATAAATTGCTTCAAGCAGAAGATAAAGAATACCAAGAAGCTGTCAATAAATATTTGAAAACCATATATCAAGAAGATTCTCAATCTCAACGAGAAAATCAACAAGTGCAAAAAAATTCTAATGGTTCTGATTTCTTTGATAGAGAATTGATAGAAGATACGCACCATCTTTTTGATGAAAATCATAATGATAACGAAAATGCGAATGAAGATAAAAGTGAAAATGAAAATAATGAGCTAGATAACAACAATATTGGAAATGGGCTAGATAATGATAATATTAGTAATGACAATGATGCTAACAATGATAATGATATTACTAATGATAATAACTTGTCACCAGAACAGAATAAAAGTCAATCGTCATCAGATCCATTATTAAGTCAACAAAAACAACAAGAAGTTCGCTCGGGAACAAAAAAAGATCCATTACTAAGATTTGACAGAGATCAATTTGGTCAGCTTGTATCACCTACACCTGTTACACTACCAGAAATCAATGGCCAAGAGCTATTTGAAAATATAACAATATTATCATTTGCACATTATTTTTCAAGTAATGTTGATTATTCAAGATGGGCTGCAAATTTAATTAGAACTTATATATTATCTTCGTACGCTGTTGGTGAACAAGACGAGATACATATATCAGCTTATAATCAAGATCTTGAAACAATAATTGATGAAGGTTACAGCTTCCCACATCTAAACAAGATTCCTAGGAATGTGCCAAAATTCATAACCAAGCCTAATACTTATAAAAATGGTTTTGATGGATTACTGCTATCCTCGATAACCTCCAAAAAATCAAATCCACAATTTCCTTTTGACCTATTTACAACAGACCCTAGTTATTTTTTAGACGCAGTTAGGTTGTTATACAAAGCTAAAGCATTGACACATCATGAATTTCTAATGGTTAAAAAGTTTGCAGCTGATTGGTTGGAATATTTGATTAATAGTTCTAAGGGCATATCAATCTCCAAGTTGGCAGATCATCGAGGCATATTATATGATATACAGGTGATAACGTTATCAGGATTTGTAGATGATATAAGGTTGTATTTACGAATGATAAACCGTATCAGGATGAGAATAGGCAAACATTTTTACATAGCAAATGACGCATCTATAAATTCAGAAATCATACAGCCATATGAAATAATGTACGTGAAGAGGTTGATAGAACGGGGGGAGATCAGCGCGAAGGATTTCGAGAAAAATGTTTTCAAGTACAAAACCATCAATCTACAATATTGGATGATGCTAACAAGGATCATACAGAATGTAGGAGTTGGTAATGATTTATGGCAATATTCTGCTAAGGATGGACAACGATTATCTAGGGTTTTGAAGGGGCATTTAAATAAACATTATCGTCATACTAAACCAAAAAATAATTATAACAATAATATTGAATGGACAGTTAATAAATTTATTCATCATATCCGTGATCACATTCATAGTATTAATAATAGTAGTGATGGACAAGAATATTATAATGAATTATTAAAAAGATTTGGTGATAGTAAAGAAGAAAAAGAAATTATATTAAGACCATTGATCCATATCGCTCAATTAGCACATGAAATAAGTGATATAAATCGTGGTAATTGGCATGAATATGGTGACGAACATGATTATTTCAAACATTCATTAACAACTTTTGGCACTAAAACGAATCTACTTAACAATAGTTCGATTAATAATATTAATAACAACAAATCTTCAAGCACGGGTGCTTGTGTATCTATTAGTAATGATAACAATGATGATGATTATGATTGTAAAGATTATTTAACAAGGATGGTTACGAAACAATATGAACAATTATCATTAGATATAAAATTAGGGATAGGGAAAGAATCAAGAGAACGTGCTATACCACCTTTTTGGATGTTTGGTTTAGGATAATAAGAATAATTATAATTTATGTAATAATATTGTATACAGTTTTTTTTATTTGTTATTTAAAAATTTTTTGAATGGATATATTTTAATTTTAATAGATTTTTTTAGAATTTATGATTTATATAAAAAAGTATTAACATTTTTAAATTAATAAATAATATTTTTTATCTTTGTTAGATTTTATTTATAAATATATATTATAATATGATGATGATGAACGTTTTCTACTTGATCATATTTTCTTTTCGTGCAACTTTCGTAAATCATTTCCGATTTATTTATTATTGTTGTTTTCCCGTGACCCATAAATTACTATTTTACACCACTCTGTCTTCTTGCTTTACGCGATGATAGATGAATCTTAACATGTTGGATTTTGTCAGATAGCGGCTGGGGGAACCCTTTGGAGCACAGTTCTACATATGATGGTTACAATGGGTGTGATACTTCATGACCAAATCGTACAACGTTCTTTCCATGATGGACAAGTCCATGTCCATATATTGAAAAAACTAATTTCGGTGACAGAAGATCCTTTTTAAATTTTCATTGATTGTTACGGAAGCACTTTTTTAAAAAAAAATAAAACTAGAATGACCATTCTTTCATCTTATAAAAATGATAAAGATCGACATACACGTGTACAACTAAATTAATAAACGCGTGTATGGGCAGTGATGTGCATTGGAAGATTTTGGAAGTTTGGAAGGCCATTTGAAGCTTCCAATCGAACATTCCAGCCAATAAAATTCAAGAATTAAAAATCAAATTTCTGTTCCTTAACACTTTTTAACCAACTGTTAAAGGTATATTATTGCCATATAATAATTGCTAATTGCAGAAAGGTCTTACATGTGTTGTATGTGAATGTGAATTTCAAATTCACATAATTTCGTTTTCATACATCCATAAATTTTTTGAGAAGCGTAAAAATATATGTGCAACATTTAAGGAAAATAAATTCACATATTCATTTATTTGTACAAAATAAAAAAAATAATTTTTGAATTTTTAAAATGTTTTGAAAAATGTTCTTCCATGTTATTGCTTTGCATATTTTAATTCAAATATTGAGGATTTGTCTTTCAACTTATATTGGTAAATACCTGATTTATTATTACAAAGCTTGGTTCTACAAAGACCAACTAGGATTTTATTGGACCAATGGCAAAAAATAGAACATTCGATGACAATACATACAGTCAATCCAATAATGATATTAATATATATTGGAAATATATCCTAGGAGATTATAAAGAATTGACAAGTGTAGCCTTAAAAAATTTTGAAATATGCATTAATGCAGCATTTATTGAAAAGATGTGGCCATGAATGGGTTTTTGCACACAAATCATTGAAATTGATTGAGTAATTCAAAAGATTATATATATCATTAAACATGATTTTTTAAATATAATGATTTCTTTATATTCTTTTTTTAGAGTTGGCAATGCCAATTATGTACTTCTATTAATTTTTTGGAAGAAAAAAAGATTAATACAAAGTGATGCACAATTCTAATGCAAAACCTATTGAATCAAACTTTTTTACACAAAATATTGATAATAATTGGAGTATTAAATGTACAAAGTGTTGACATAGAGATGGAGATATTTTATGTAATTATAGCATCCAACAATTGATTCAAGAGCAAAATGGGACTTAAAGATACATTTAATTCATTACTTTGAATATTTAATTCATAATAAATGTTGTTTGTTATATACAGTATATATATACAGTATATTAACATATGATTTGTTATAATAATAAAAATTTGTTATGCATTTCATGTGAAACTACTTCATTGCTCCAAAATTAAACATGTATAACATTTCAAAAAAAAGCATTGGAAGGTCATTGGTCCTCAATTTATCACGTGATTGTTTTTTGATTGGACCATAATATTGATGGCGTGTAAGCCTTTCCAACCTTCCAATGCCCTCTATCATTGGAAGATTGGAAGTTCCAATTTCTTTCAATCTTCCAATGGTTTTTTTTAAAACAATTTATTTTTGATGGAGTTCAAGATGACAAAATGTGAGTATTGTTGTTTGGCATGATTTGGTTCTGAAGAAATGTTAATAACTAACCAGAGGGACTTTTTTTTATTTGTATTGATATATATAAGTCTTTTTTAGTTATTATAAATATTTTAATTGAATCAGAACATGGAGCAGAACTTGTGGGGTGATTATAAAAGATAGTATTTTTCTTTGCATAATCATAATCAATGTTATTATTATTATTATAAATATCTAATTTCTCTCATTGGTGTTACTTGGGTGTGCATGCTGCCCAAAAAGGTTTCCTGCAATGATCCTACACTCTAGGGTAAAGATGGTGGCTGTACAACCAAAAAGTCTTGCAACTCTGTTGAAGAGTTGTAACGTTGGGTACACATAAACATCCAGATCCATCAAATAAATGTTGATATGTTTTGTATAAATTAATTATTCCTAAATTTTCTGTTGTTGTAGGTCCCGAAGATGTGACCTTATGGATAGGTCTGACTGTATATTAATATATATAAAAAATTTTTAAGTTCGTGTAACTATTAAGACAATGAGTGTTTATTAGTATAATCGGAGTTCCCATTCGAATTGTTCCAACTAATTTTAGTATTCAATTACATCAAATGATTGAACTTTTATTCAAATAAACTATTTCGAAACTCTGAAACTGTTTTTAAACTCCAAAACTAAAAAGCAAAATGATGTCATAAGTGCTTCATGTGGGAAAAGTATATATAATCAAATCTTTTTTCAAAAATGAAACTGAAAATAAATAATTTTCAAAAAGATTTATTTGCATATTATCACGTGATGAGAATGTGAAGGATATATATATATTATTAAAGTCATACATAATAATAAACCGTAAAATCGTAATTCCGTTAATTATTTATGGCTTATAAGTATTGCGAACTTGTTATCTAAGTTATTTATTATGGAGTCACCAAGTCTGGCATACCTTTATTCAATAATGTTCAAAACTAAAATCATTATATACAACTATACTGCTTGAACAGGGTTTCTATTCTAATAATAATAAATAAGGTTTATTCGAATAAAATGAATAACGAATAATAATAATAATTCCATAATTCTATAATTCTATGATTCGAATAAAACAAATAAACGAATAAATCGAATAAATCGGATAAAACAAATATTTTTGATATTTAAAACAAAATAAATCGAATAAAGGATAATTCGAATAAAATGAATCAAACAAATAATTCAAATAAAACGAATAAATTCGAATAAAACGAGTAATATGAATAATTTGATTAAAGCGAATAAAATAATAATCTGAATAAAACAAATAAACAAACAATTCGAATGAATGAACAATAATAATTCGAACAAAACGAATAATTAGAATAAGAATTTGTATTACGAATAGAAACTCTACTCTATTATGGAATCACCAAATCCGGCACACGGCTAATAATGTTCAAAATCACAAGCAATATAGTAAAACTAAAAGGGGTCCCTAACTAATAATTAATGTTGGCCAAACCATTAATCATCAGAAAGGGTTATGAATCAACCAATCACGTCAGCTTTATTGATTAATTACAGTCAAGGACCAATTTTATGTGGTAATTTCTATTACCAAAGCGCCAGGATATTATATTATTGAAAGGTTAATTATTTATTTTTATTGATTAATTTTTTCTTTTCACTGAAGAAGATTTCAAGCATATTTGTACTTCTTGAGGTATTACAAATAACATGACTTTTTACATGATTTTGTCCAATAAAATAAAATAGAATGATAAAGGATCACTAATTAATGATTACTTTTGTTAAATGCCAAAAATGCGTCATTGATGATGTCCTGATCAATGATACCTGACGAAATGTTTTTGTGGACAGGAAACTATTTCGTCAAATTAGACGAAATATGACAAAAGGGGAGAAATATAAAATTGATTAAAACAATAAATTTATATGTGCTCTTAAATTTATACTTCATTGAAATGTCGGATGGTAGTCAGCTTCAATTTGTAAATGCTAACTCAAGTGTTGATGACAATTCCTCTTAACTAAGAAGACCAGCACCAAAGAGTCTATTAAAATCCTAAAGGTCATTTTTCTGCTAAATATTTGTACTGTCCAAAAAGTTTCAGCATGAAAGAAACGTCAAGTCTTGCGGCTCATTTAGCAAATCACTGCATTGGATGTGACACGCATAAAGACTTGTCAAAACATTTCCAGATTCAATACAATGCTCAAAAGTCGATGCATCATAGATACCGTATGTGTGAAATCAATAATAATAACAGGGATTTATTTGTTTAAAAATTATTACTATTTAATTAAATCATCATCATTAGGCATTGAAACCCTTTTACTGTTTGTGATTTCATTAGAATTAAATTATTTTTGATCGTAGTAAAGGGCTTTCTTTGGAATATGATGATGCAAAAAGGTGGAAAAGAATAAAAAAAAATAAAGTACATTATTTGAATTTTAATTTCCACGAATTTGCAACAATAGCAAATCTATGTAATTTTTTCCATGAATATGATACATTTCTGAAGAAAACATGAAATTTCAAATCACGGATCGGTTTTTTTTACAGGGGGTACAATAGAACCATCTCAGGAAAAAAAGATCTAAAAAAAGTGCTGCCGGAATGAGTGATTATAGAACGCCAGATACAACAATTCATGTGTAAAAGTCGCATCATCCCGTACCACAACTTTTTGTGTAAAGGTTGACGATTGGCAAATTTTATTTCACTGATTCATTCACCAATTAACAAACAATTCATAATATTAGATTTAAGCAAAACCATTCGCTGGTAGATTTCCTATGCATAAAACGATGAACTGGGAACTAGCTTATAAGAGAAATCTGAATGATAAATTAATTTTATATCAAAAGCTAATCGTCCCAGATGACCATTCCAAAAGTCTGACAGAAAACGCCAGAAAAGAAAATCAACGCTACTGATTCTTCAAAGGAAGCCAATCTGTTTGATTACGATTATTATAGGTAATTATCGCGAGAATCCTTACCGAATTTATATGTGGCTCGGGGGATTTGTTTATTGTTACTCGAACGAATTAAGGTGGTGCAAGATGCAAGCCATGAGAATTTTGCAGAAATGTCTAGGACTTTCTACAAAAATACTTTATGCTCAGTTAGCTTTACAGTTTCGGTAAAACCTTAAAAGTATTCGAACGCCTTGAATTAAAATACATATTGTAATGAATAATCACATAATAAAGATCGTTATAATATTGTTAATCGGCAAGGCAACCGTTGCAAGTACACGATCCAACACTATTATTGCCTACTTTGCCTTTCCCGATTAGGTAATTGCTCTTTTCAGCAAACCTCATAGAAAATTTTCAAGTGCCCATAAAGGGAAATTGTTTCATCTTTATTAAAAATACTAATTTTTAACTAGTTCATATTTTATATATTAATGTGTATGTGTGTGTGTGTACTCGTAATACTCATAAAATTTTATTGTAACAAAAGTTTTTGACCCTTACAATTTTACAGATTTTCCAATGGCATTACTATTATATTAGCATGATCAACAAGAACTAATCTATTGGAAAGACCAAAAGGCAAAGAAAGGGTCTACTCTGTTGTACAATTTATCTTTGAAATCATCATCTTGGGCAGCTATAAACTGGTCACTAAAATTTAGACCCCCGAAATTTCTTTGTGAAATAATAAATAATAATAATATTATTAGTAATAATATATATAATGAAATGATTGCAGTACGCCCTATTAATATATGCTAACTAGTATGAAACCTACACATATACAATCTAGTTATTTTTATTTGATAGAAATAAAAAGCAAGCCAAGATCCTTTTAAAAAAAATCTACAACTATTCTAGAAAAATAGAAAAATCACAATGAAAATTTATTCTATTTCACTTACACAACATAACACAAAAAAAAATCAAGTACAAAAAACGTATTTGTTTTAACTCTCCTCTTTAAAAAAATAATATATATCAGATATTTGTAAATTATTTAACGTTTTTCCCCCAATATATTTATTTCAATTGTTACCTCTACCACATTTTAATAATTTCCTTTTTTCCCATAATATTATTTAAATATTTTGTTATTAGTGATACAATTCTAAAAATTTTCCACTTTAATAATGTCAACAATCACAAAACCTTCTTCTTCGAGAATATCAAATATCGATAAATCCACAATACAATCATGTTCTAAGTTACTTGATGAAGATGAAGATGAAAATTTTGAAGCAACAACAGCAAAAGAACCATACGAAACCAAATACATTAAATTGTCAAACATTGAAGCGTTGGATTTTTTTTTTTCATCAGATCAATCAACTGAAACCTTTTCAGATGTTGTTTTAATATTAATTCACAAAGCTATTAATTTAGCATTTGTTCTTTGTATGGTATCTTGTTCTTTGGCTGCTGGAATGTCGTTGATTTATAACAGGACCTTAAACCTTTTCTCATTTAATACTAGCTGGTCAATATTTTATATAATCAAAGCATCAATATGGGCTTATTGTTCTTATAGATTAAATTCATCTTTAATGTCATTAAAAGATGCAATTATGAGCGCAAAAAGAATCGCAATGTCAATATCTGTTATTCATATTATTATTCATTGTTCAAATTATTATTATCATTTATTTATGGAATCACAAAGACCATTTAATTCTATAAATGAAAATCCTTTATTCTACTCAGGGACCGTATTCAGTTTACCATTTTTTCTATTTTTAGAAGAATTGCTAGAAGCTTATGAAAAAGAAAGCTTTCGTAAACGAGCATTGCTGAAAGTTGAACGTGAAAATGCTCAAAAATCTGTTTACAAAGCAATTGATAGAATTACTGAACGCAAAGCATCTTATTTGAAAGTGATAGCTTGTCAATTAAAACAAACAACAGATTTAGCAATCAAAACTTTAAAACAGTTATCTCCTGCTGATTTCTTAACACAACCTCATGAACAATTATCCGCTTGTTCCATCTCATTCCCTACAACTTCAATCAAAGCCATACACACTTCACTTAAAGCTGTCAATTATATTTCTTCGCATTTGGATATTTTATCTTTATTATTATTTACTGATGTTCATAATGCCGAGGAGATTATTGGTACTTCGAATATTAGACGTGAATTTGATATTGGTGAAATGATTCAAAATGTCGCTGATGCTTTGGCTGGTGTTGCTGCTTTGGCTAGGGTTGAATTGGTTGTTTATCATATAGATTATGGATTGGAACATTTGAATGTTATTGGTGATGTAGCTGGTTTTAGGCATGCTTTATTAGATGTATGTGTGTAAATTTATATAAATGAAAAATCATATACATACATGTGTGTCTGTTACTTATTAACAAATAAATTTTTATTTTATTATCGTTATTTTAGTTTATTAAATGCATATTTGATGGTGCAAGTCCAGGTGCATGTGTGGAACTGGGACTTCAGATTAGGACCGTTGATAATGATGAAAAAGAAAGTGTAATAATCAATCCACATGATAAAGTAATCATCAAAGTCGAAATAATTCATAATGCTAGTACGTTAATACCAAGCGATGGTGATAAACCAGTTTTGGTTTGTCCAGATGCAAACTTGACTTTCAAGGTATTGAATTATTTGGGTGCTACATTGACAGTAGACGAAGAAGATCATGATCATGGCCGACAGAGATTCGAAATTACAATCGAGATGGAAGCTGGTTCTTCATTGAATACATCGAATAATTTAAAAGTCAATGAAGAGATGTACCATCGTTACCCAAATTTGCGTATAACTGGTGAACCATCTGTAGAAGAATTGATCAAGACTTCACAACTTATGGGAGGCCAAAGAGTAGCATTATTTGCTACCAGTAAAAGTTTTTTTGCTAAACATATCACTAGCTGTTTAACCACCTGGGGAACTAATATATCTCATGTGCCTATTGGAGGTGATGATTTTGAAACTGCCTCTAGGGCAGACTCCGTTTCTTCTGATAATGATAGCAATGATAATGATAATAATTCACCTGATAACAATGATACAGGAAATCAAGATGATTCATCAAATCTACCACCTACTTTTATAATGATTGATGACGATATTGATACATTGAAACAACATCTTAAACAACTTAGTAATGCTCCATTTACAGGATTATCCTCCTTATCATCAACCATGAAATCAAGTCTTGCCATGGGTCTTGGTGTTACTGGTCTTGGCGGTAATGGTGGTAGCAGTAATAGTCGAACGAAGAAACCGCCGCCTAGTTTACCATCACAAACAACTGCTGTAATTTATTTCACCTCTATAACAAAATACAAACTGGTAAAAGACTCTATTCAAGACATTGTATCATCGAACAATAATGGAACGTTTACTTTACTGCCACAAATATTGGTAATCCCGAAACCAGTAGGACCAAGAAGATTTCTTACCGCTTTTCATACAACGATCAATCAAATAGTTGTAGATCCCGTTTATATACCGATTGCTACTTCACCAAAGAGTCCTATGGATCAAGTGATAATGTCAGATTCATCTAATAATTATTTTTCATTCACTAGAGCTGGTAATACTGTGATTAATAACAACAACAACAACAATAACGACAATAATATTTTTTTCTCATCATCGTCATCTTTTTCATCTGCTACTACTACTGGCGCGATTTATCGAACTAATACAGCATCATCTTCATCAACATCAATTAATTCCACACCAACAAATAGACCCAAAAATGACAGTAGCAGTAGCGCTTCTTGTCCAGTAAGTCCAAAAATGCAATTCAATTATAAAAAAGCATCAAATGGATCTGATGATTTTAATGTTGATTATAACAACATTAATGACAAAAACGACAACAAAAAAATTAATAATGGCAACGGTGGAGGCAGCGGTGGTGGTGGTGATAACAATGGTAGTATTGAGGTTGGCGGTGGTAATAATAATCCTATACCACTGTCAGTTGGAATTAATACTGGTGGTGGTAATACTATCGTTACAACACATTTATTATCGCCATCCCAACCACCATCTATACGTACACAAATACCGTCACCACTTGGATCAACATTACCAATATTAAACTCACCACAAGAACATGACAAAAAATCATCATCAGCATCAACACCACTACCAAAACAAGTATCCCCAAAACCAAATACAAAATCACAAAATAGTCAATCATCAAAATTCACAAGGAATGCTAGAGCCGGTAAAAATAACAGAAAAATACCAACAAATTCAGAATATGTTATTCCGCCTATTAATGTTTTGATTGTAGAAGATAACCCAATCAATCAGGCTATTTTGTCGACATTTATGAGAAAGAAAAAAATTAAATATGAATGCGCTACCAATGGACAAGAGGCAGTTGACAAATGGAAGGAAGGCGGGTTTCATTTGGTATTGATGGACATTCAATTACCAGTGATGGATGGTATCAAAGCAACAGAAACCATAAGAAAATTAGAAAAACACCAACAAATTGGTGTATTACCGTCATCTTCCATATCACAGCATGATCAACAAGAGGGGGGCATTCCTTCATCGACATCAATATCATCTACCACCACCACTACAATGAGATCACCAGTTATTATTTTAGCATTAACTGCATCATCATTATCATCCGATAGAAAAAATGCTTTAGCAGCAGGCTGTAATGATTTTCTGACCAAACCTGTTAGTTTAGAATGGTTAGAAAAAAAGATTTTAGATTGGGGATGTATGCAAGCATTGATAGATTTTGATGTGTGGAGAAAGTGGAAGAAAGATGATGATTCAGAGTCGGCAAAAGCGATTGAACCAAGGAAAAATCAAAGAAGTATTAGTACAGCTCAAATACAAAAGACTAGAACTTACATTGAAGAAAATGATCTTGTAGGAAAAAAAACAATTGTATCGCCAATTTTGACCAAAAACAATTCATCCCCATCTGTACTTGGAGTCAAAAAAGGCGGCAATGTTGATGATGGTGATTCAAAAACAACGGAATCAGTAGTTTCAATAACAAAATTGACGACAGAAAATTTAGAAAGTTATCAACCTGTAAGAAGATCATCAGTAGTATCCCCTGTGACATCGTCCCCTATAACGGCTACTATTTCTTCCAATAGCAACTCATCTAGTTCCAGTACCATTATATCTAATTTGCCAAGAACACCAACAGGAGGTGTAATAATTTCACCTGCTAATATGATACCATCATTACCATCAACTCCTAAAAATTTTCAAGTATCACCACCTAGTAGTATTGATAGTATTAATAGTGGTCATGGTGGTAGTAATAATATTAATGTTAGTGGTACAAGTGCTATTAATTTTCCTATCCATAAACAATCGTTCGTTCTTAAACAAAGCGGGTTGTCAAGGAAATTACGAGCAAATGATGTTGACGAAGGTACTAGCATCTGAAAAGAAAAAAAACTTATATATATATATACATATATTAAAAAAAAATCTTTTTGTATAATATTTTGCACACATATATACACATACACACACACACATACACACACACATTTTACATACATATACACATTTTTTTCATTCACATTTCTTTTTTTTTTTAAAAATTTAGCAAATTATTCCGATTTTTTTGTGGAAGATGGTGCAAAAGTTTTGGTAGATGATTATGACAAATTTTTTTAAAAAGAAAAAATTATAATGTTGAAAAATAAATTTTTTTCTTGCATAGAAATTTTATTTAATAATATTAATAGTAATAATAATAATAATAAATAATATAACGTATTGAATTATCTTGATGATTGTAATAATTAGATTGTTTTAATTAATTAGTTTATATTTTTATAATTAATTCATTATTAATTATAGTAATAATAAAAATTTTTTAAATAACTTAAATATACAAAGAAACCAATATAAAAATTCATCATTATCACCACATTAATATTCAAATGAACCAAGAAGTAAACCAAGAAACCCAAGAAATACCAGTATTCCAAATTCTTGATTTCAAAATGTATAATACTACCATACAAAACACCAATAAACCAAACAGAATTAACAACCTATCTGTCCAATCACTTTGCTCCAACTTGGTTATTAATTGTTTTGAAGAACGTATTATTGATGTTAAACCTCTATATTCATTATGTGTTGACTTTAAAGTTTTGGATGATTCGTCTTTTATCAATTAACAATAAAACAAATTATAAATTGAATGAATAACATTTAATAATCAATACTGAATGATGAATGATGATGTATGATGAACGATGTAGTAGTAGTAATAATGATAATGATAACTACCGAGCACTTTTGCAGAATAGACACTTCTTTCAATTTCTTGCTGCATTAATTGTGTGGTACGTCTTAAAGCTCCTGTCACATCACTTGTAGAATTTAATATAGCATCTTCTGATCTATATATAAATGTATTTATATAGATAGATTTGTTTCAATTTCAATTACAAAAAACTTCAAATGATAATTATTCGATATCATGATTTTTTTTTCTAATAATGTATATTTTTAATACATACGAAAAGTTTCTACGTTTTAAAACACCATCTCTTTTATCATAATCATTATCGTCGCCATTTACTTTTCTGGATAATAACATTTCACGTTGATGTTTAAATTCCTTTTCTATATTTTGTTTTGATGTAAGTATTGCTCTTCTGATTGAAGCTTGTATTCTAACTTTCCCCAAATATATATATATATTTGCAAGTGTTTGAGAAAATAAAATTTATCAAGTGACAATGATTAAATCATTGATGAAAAAAAAAAGAATCAACATACTGTTTAAATTGTTCTTCATTTTTTTTCAGTTTATTCAACACAAACTGCTTATCTTTTTCCTTTTCTTGTTCGTCAGCTGATGACTTGACATCCTATGTCGTGTTATTAACATTATTATACAACTGTTTACATATCTCATGATAATTGAAAACGCTTGATATATATATATATATAAGAATAAGTAACCTCAATCCATTTATCCAAATCTTTAACTTCTTCTTTAATTTCCAAGATCATTTCTTGTTGTTTTAATAAATCTACAACATTATTTAATTTTGTTATTTGATTTTCTAGATCTAGTTGTTGTTTGTTTATATTTTCAAAAAGTTTTTGAAGATCTGGTGATAAAGAAAAAGAACTATTAGATATTTGTGCCATGATATTTTTAACATTTAAAACAAAGAATATTTGATACAAATCCTGTACTACCAATAGGGATTAATCCCAGGGGTAGATTACTAGGTCCATATTTGTTTAACTCCTTTGTCCTTCGTCTAAACCCAATTCACAAATACTAGCTAGCTTTACAACACGTGAAGCATCAAAGAATTAAAGAATCCAAATATGCTACACCGTCAGCAGAAGTTGCAGGTACTGATAATATTTTATATCAATAAAGGACAACAATCGCCATGGTTTTGCTACTGTTGTGAAATTTTTCTAAAGTTTCATAATTTACTTTGACAAAAGGGATTTGAAATTACTATCATCTCAGGTAAATCGATTAGCACTTGTCTGTATTGCTATTTTTGCATCTTAATTGGTAAAAATATGAAATTCGCATCTTGTTTTCCCTGGTAATAGTAAGAAGCATGCCGAGTTATAATCAAGTCGTGTAATATTTAGACAAATCGGTTTTACGAATTTAATACATAAATTTCGTCGTCGAGGTTTTTTTCCTTTTGGTATTAAATCTTCTTTTCTCCAAATAAAAATCACAAATATGATACTAGGCTTGATTCTGACTTGTGAAACGGGACATGCTATAGTGTGTCGCGTGTTTATTTCAATAAACGGGGAAAATAAAATCAAACAATTTATTTATTGAATATTTAAAACAATAAAAAAGAAAAAATTAAAACGCGTTCGAATTGTCTTTAATGACTTTAACGTTAACTACGCGTAATAATAAATAAAATGATATTAATATTAAAAAATAAAACGCACTTGAGCTGTCTTTAATGTCTGGATTCGAAACGACTTTTACATGGTACATAAAAAACAGTACAAATTTTTGTAACATTAGTATTAGAGCTTGATTTGATGTTAAAGTTGTTCTTGTATGGCTTTTAAATATTCAAAATTAATGATTATTAGCGTATTATTATTATTATTACGAAAGAAAAAATTATCGAAGTAGAAAATATTCGGTTGGGAGCTAACCAACAATGAGTATGAGTGATCTAAACTTGGAATGATTTTCTTTTGTAAGCCGCATTAGTATTTCAAGTTGAGAAAAAAAATTTACCCGATATTTTATTGTCATTTGAATAAAAATCAAATTTAAAACGTTTATGACCGGAAAGTTGGCTTTCTATTATTATCTCTTTTAACTGATTTATTTTGTTGTCGTTATAACAGAAATAGTAAAGGGAGAAGAAAATATGATGATGATTCATTAGCTCCGAGGTAAATACACATTTTAAAAATTATGATTAATGTGTTTATTAATGTTCATTAAAAGTAATATTATCGTTATTATTCAATCTGTCATTAATAATAAGACGTGCAAAACTTCATGTTCATGAAGATGGTGTGACACATATATGTACTGTATGTACAAGGGTGAATATTGACGCGGTTTAATCAAATTTGGAAATTCACCAATTTGTATATATGGCAAAGTCGAATTTATATGTCAAAATGTGTTAATTTAGACACCATATATATCACCTAAGGTGCAGGAAGCCAGAATCAATATTAATAAAGTTATTCACTAAATCCAATTAAGGACTATTTAAATTAAAAGGTGATTTTGAGGGAATTTGTGTCATTTGTTTGGATGAATATAATTGATCAACCATTCTATTTTAACCAAGAGTTAACTAATGCACATTGTAGTAACCAAATGTTAAGACATGATGTGAATAATGATTGAAGTTTTTTTGTGAGAAGTAAATATTTGATATAAGATTTTGATTAGAAATGATGGAGTTATTCCTGCTCCAAGATTTACAGGCATAGTCAAGGTTTGACTGAGTAAATGTTGTAGTAGTTGGTTGATTTGCGTACATTTAGAAGATAACTAATTTGCAAAATAATTGATTGTTAGGTTGTTGATCATGTGGTTGAGATTAATTGACATGAAAATAAGTGTGTGGTGTTTTTGTGGGATTGATTGCAGTAAAGGCAGTTAAGATTAGATGGGATAATTATGTATCAAATTTTTTATTGTAGGTATGGAAGATTTCAAGTTTGAATGAGAATAATGATAAATGGTAGAAGCAAGATTATTTTTACAAATTGTTATAATGGCAGAACATTAATTAAACAAGCAGATAATAATACCATGTAAGAAACACATCTTTCTTTTATACCCTTAAATTCCATTTTGCAGAGAATAAAGTAATAGATAATTCATCTAATGCAGTAATTTATCTAAATATCCAAATTCATTTGATTAGAATCTATAAAGACAATGAGTATAGGTATATTAATATAGCCAATTTTAATATTGATATTAATTAAAAAATTAAAATTAAATAATAATAATTACCACCATTATTTCCAATGATTGTAACTTTATTGGAGTTTACAGGCTGAGGAAGATT